CGCAAATGTTTATCAAACCGGTATTTTTAGGATAAAAATACACTAAAATGAAATTTAGCGCACAGAAACAGAATAGAATACCCATTTCTTGGGGTAAAATATAAAAGGCGGGGTCACGCCGGGTAAATAGATACCAAACACGTGAAGCTTTATAATTGCGTTCGCCCTTGAAGCCGCAAAAAACTTCAATACCCAAAATTTCCCATAGGCGACGCTTTAAAGTCTTTTACGGCTCATCAGTTTAGTGCTAACAGTGATTGATGGGTCTAGAATGATTGCTCTCACTCTGACGTTGGCGACGATATGTGACATGTGCAGTGCAATTTTCGTTTACGCACGTAGGCGCTCCGATGTATGTGCTTGCCCAAAGCAGGGCTAAATGTAGAGAACAACTACCCGCCCGATGCCCGGAACTGCATGTCCCGGGAGGTCGGGAGATAGAAATTCCACACCCCTGCTGCCCCTCTGCTCCCTGCTGCCCTGAGGCCGGGACTTGGTTGGCCTTGTGGGAAATCCGGCCTTGGCCGTGAATAGTTGCAGGTAGTCGGCGAGCTGGAAAATCTCCCCTTGCCGCCCCTTGGAGTAAGGAGAATAAACCTTGCGTGGGTCCAAGTCAATCTGGTTGAAGCCTGCACCGGGCTAAGGACTCTCTTGGTCTGTGACAAGGCATGATGATTGCACTTGGCAGGTGAACGGATCAGTGGGCAAGCAAGGGAAAAGTAACTTTCTGCTTGACCGTACAATGAAGAGGTTCCTTATAAACACAATTGTTCACGCGCTACGGCGCATGCGCGGGTCCCAGCATTCCGTACCATCGGAAAAAATGCGCTGGGGTGCTAACGTGGCGCACAGGAAGTGACAAGTCTTCTTCTGAATGATGACCCTATGTGAACTGGACAGTTCCATTGATCAGTGCTGAATGGTCTTACATCTTTAGTTCCTGTGTTCCTCTGTTTCTGCTAAGTTTGATCACCTGTTGCCTTGACCCGGATTGCTTTAACTACGATTGACTGCTGCCTGCCTTGGCTTCTGCTTGTTCCTGGACTCTGCCTCTGCCTGCTCCCTCGTACCGTGCTGACCGTCTGGCTTTGACCCCTGGCTTGCTTGACTTCTCTCCAGTCCTGCTCCTGACCACGCTGATCCCTCAGCTGGCTTCCAGTCCTGCCGACCTTCCCAGAGAACCTATTGCTTGACGTCTGCCAGGCACTGGGCCCGAACATGTCAGCACCCGTGCTACCCTCTGTCTGTTCACTCCCTGTCCCCACTTCCAGGGGTGTGAGGCAAGAGACGCAAAGGCGGCCTCCTCAACCAAGTCGGTCCTCTACCAGGTACGTGATAACTGGGGATTCAACGATACCGGTATTTCGGTATGGAGTACGACTACCGATATTTTTTTTCCAGCACTTGCCAATACCGAAAACCGATACCGGCAGTCCCATTCAGGAAGCCAGGCGGCGTGTAAAGACTCGCCACTGGCGTCCCGATTAGAAGGGAAGCCGCCCCCATGCTTCTCGTTGCTATGTGACAAGAAAGTATGGAGCCGGCTTTCTGGCCACTCAGGAAGCCGGGCGCTGTGTAATGACGTGACGCCCGGCTTCCTGATTGGCCGGGAAGCCATTGGCCTCGTCATGAGGTGACGATGGAGCATGAAGCCGGCTTTCCCGGCCAATCAGAAAGCCGGGCATCGTGTCATTACATGGTACCCGGCTTTCTGCTTGGCCAGCTTCCCCATCAATCAGGAAGCCGGGCAGCGAGTCATTACACGCTGCCCGGCTTCCTGATTGGCCGGGAAGCCGACTCCATGCTCTGTCGTCCCAAGTGACGAGGGAGCATGGAGCCGGCTTCCTGATGCCCGAAGTATTGGGCTAGGCATCGGATCATTTGGGCGAGTATTTGCCCAAATACTCGGCATCGGCACTGGTACTAGTATCGGTATCGGTGCATCCCTAGTGATAACAAATGAAAAACCTGATGCCGCATGGAAGATACTGGCTCACCTCCTTCCAATGAGGCTACAGATCCCAACCCTGTCCAGCTGTGACAAGATATCCACCATGAATGAGGTGGCCATTACCGGCCAAATCCAACATCTGAAAGCTTAATTACTATTCAAGGTCATGAGACCATGCCCATGCTTTCACATCACGGAGCTTTCTCATGATGAGTAATCACTGTTGTGAAATGGATGAAGGTCTTCTCTAGATGGCTGTTTCGTCATGCCCTTGATATGATGCAGCGGCGTAACAATCGACATAGCGACCCAGGCAGCCGCTATGGGGCCCGGGCACAGGGGGGCCCGGCCGGGGCATCCCTCTGATGCCGTGTGGGCAGCCTGGGTCGCTATGGCATGTAACGGTGCTGGCTGTCACTGACACAGCTCAGCAGCTGTGTTTCCCCCTCACAGCCGCTGCGGAGCTGTGTCAGGGACAGCCAGCAGCTACGGCAGAAGAGGCCGGCGTTCGCAGTGAAGGAGGGGGCGGGGCACGCCTAAGAGCAACCCCGCCTCCTCTTACATCAATGGCTAGCGACCTAAGAGCAGGTGGGGCCAGTGATGTAAGAGGAGGCGGGGCCCGGGGGACGGAAGAGGAGGCGGGGCCCCGGTGACCACGGAGGCGGACAGCGCTGACAGGTAAGAGGTGTGCAGCCCATCTGAGACCCTGCAGAGCCCACTATACAGAGTCTACGGTGGGCTCTGCAGGGTCACTCTCAGGTGGGCTCTGCAAGTGGCATAACTAGCCATCACGGGGGCCCAATACAAAATTTCGCTATGGGGCCCCGTGATTTCTAGCTACGCCCCTGATATGAAGTAAAGCTTTCAGACGTCGGATTTGACTTTTAAAGATCACCTTAAAGGAGAACTATGAGGGGGGGGGTGCTTCTCACTCACCTCATAGTTCTAGCCGACCTGTGACAATGAGACTGTCACAGGTCGGCTCAGTAGATCGGGAAGTGAGCGAACACATACCGGTGCTCGCTCACCTCTCGATCCTGTCACAGCTCTCTGCCGTGACGGGAGGGGCTGGATTCCCCCCTCCCCGCTCTGATCCTCCAGCGCTGACTGGCGGAACGGACGGGGGAGGGGCGGGTACAGCTGGCTCTGCCTCTAGATAGGCAGAGCCAGCTGTCACTCACGCAGCTGGGCGGATCTCAACATCGTTGTCGGGATCCCCCCCGGCTTCGGCGTCTCAGTATACCGCGAGCTGCAGCTCCCTATATACTGAGCTTAGGGTGGCGGGAGGACGCTAGTTTGTGTCCTCCCGTTACCCTAAGGAGAGCTATGGGGAAAAACACTGACCCCATAGTTCTCCTTTAAAGACCACTGCACCCTGAATACCTCCTTAAACGTTGCCTTCCCTTTTGACTCCGGTGCATTTTAAAATGGTCAAATTTTGCCAAAATATCCCAAAGAAATAATGGAAAAATCAAAGTTTCCAATTTTGCTATCATATGTATCACTATATTGCAAAAAGTATTGGGACGCCGACCTTTACACGCACATGAACTTTAATGGCATCCCAGTCTTAATCCGTAGGGTTCAGTATTGGGTTGGCTCCGCCCTTTGCTCCCAGAAGAGCTTCAACTCTTCTGGGAAGGACCATTTGTGAGGTCAGATGTTGGGGGAGGGGCTCGCAGTCTCCGCTCTAATTCATCCCAAAGGTGTTCTATGGGGTTGAGGTCAGGGACTCTGTGCAGGCCAGTCACATTCCTCCACCCCAAACTCCCCCATCCATGTCTTTATGGACCTTGCTTTGTGCACTGGTGCGCAGTCATGTTGGAACAGAAGATTCACCCTTTTCAATCTTTATAAGGTTCCTGGAGGTTCAAACAGCAGATAAATACATGAAAATGGGACGTGATGGAAAGACAAATCTGTTTTATTTGGTATAGAATGTATTATGAATACACAGGCGGCAAATCACGGGGAGGAGCATTCATGGTTGGGTCCCCTGACTCATGGGCCCTAGAGCAGTTATTCTTCATTTGGTTCCTTTACACTGAGAATTGATCCAGATGTATCGTTTTGTCTATCACTCAAAGATTTGGTAAATAGAATATTAATGATTGAAACATCTATACAGTTTTGTGGATTGAATATTTGCATTGTCAGGTCTGTAGAGTTGAAGGTTTAAAGTATCTGAAAGTTGAATGCATGGGTCTCATCTTCACAGTGAATGTACACGGGGCCATCTCTATATAGGCAGTTGACTCAGGCGGCTTCTCATTGGGTAACGTGGGGGGGCGGCAGGTGTGCCTGTTGCCCCCTATCTGTCCAAAGCGTCCCAGGTTGCCAAGAGCTCTTAGCAACCTGTGACACTGTCCGGCGTTCTGCCCAGCTCACTGACGTCACGGGTTGCCGGGAGCTGAGTGGGACGCTCCGGCTCGAGTCCCACCCAACTCCTGGCAACCAGTAATGTCAGTGAGTTGGGCAGGACACCGGACAGAGGTACCTTGCAAGCCTCCCCGTAATATGTGCTGCCAACACTGCACCCCCCGGTAACATGCACTGCCAGCACCTCCACCCCTGGCCTCAGGCACCCAAGGTAGGTAGGCCCCTGAATGTACAGATCTCATATCACAACCACTGTACGGGTCCCATCCTCAAAGGGAATGTACAGGTCTCATATCACAGTGATTGTATGAGTCTCATCCTCAGGGCGAATGTACGGGTCTCATATCACAGCGATTGTATGAGTCTCATCCTCACAGCGAATGTACAGGTCTCATCCTCATGGAGAATGTACGGGTCTCATCCTCACAGCGAAGGTACGGGTCTCATATCACAGCGAATGTACGGGTCTCATCCTCATGGAGAATGTACAGGTCTGATATCACAGAGATTGTATGGGTCTCATATCACAGTGAATGTACGGGTCTCATATCACAGCCATTGTATGGGTCTCATCCTCATGGAGAATGTATGGGTTTCATATCAAAGTGAATGTACGGGTCTCATATCACAGCGAATGTACCACCCTCAATATGAGAGTCCTTTACATGCCCATTGAGTTCAGTCGATTGAAATTTCAAGGCCTGGTTTCTGAGCTCTCAGTTCCAACAATGATCTTCTGTCTTCACGGGGCAGTCTATGATTAAAATAGAGGCTAGAAGAAAGAAAGTGAGAATATGAACAGATATTAAAATGTCTTCACAGTTGTCAGAAAGCAAAATGTCACTCAACAAGCCCCCACGTCCTTTCTAAAGAGACTTTCATGGTGAATGTGGCCCATGTCTTAGAGGAACAGCGGGAAGTGTTGTACGTTTAGGGCAAATACCATCTTGGGGCATAACTGGTGTCTCCATTGGAAGAGTTCCCTCAGAACCTGTTCTGGTTACAACCATTCATTTGAAGGTATTCCTTCACTTTCTGTCCCCCAGGACAAGATGCCAGGCAAATGTGTCAGCTACAGGGTTGGGATAAAAAACAGAACACATGCCATTTGTATGTCTCTCTTATGTATGCACGCCCTGTCCACAGATAGCACATTTTCTTTATTGCCGGGTCTGTAGAGGTGATGGTTTGAAGGCTTTGAAAGCTGAATGTATGGGTCTCATCATCACGTCCAACGCACGGGTCTCATATCAAGGCCCTTGTACAGGAGCTTATCACCACGGTGAATGTAAGGGTCCCATATTACATCAGTTGAGCAGGTCTTAGTCTCACAGTGAATGCACGGGTCTCATCATCACAGCGAACGTACGGGTCTCATATCAAGTGTCTCTTCCTCACATTCAATGTATGGGTCTCCTATTACATCAATTGAGCAGGTCTTAGTCTCACAGTAAATGCACGGCTCTCATCATCACAGCGAACGTACGGGTCTCATATCAAGGCCCTTGTACAGGAGCTTATCACCACGGTGAATGTAAGGGTCCCATATTACATCAGTTGAGCAGGTCTTAGTCTCACAGTGAATGTACGGGTCTCATCATCACAGCGAATGTACGGGTCTCATATCAAGGCCCTTGTACAGGAGCTTATCACCACGGTGAATGTAAGGGTCCCATATTACATCAGTTGAGCAGGTCTTAGTCTCACAGTGAATGCACGGGTCTCATCATCACAGCGAACGTACGGGTCTCATATCAAGGGCTTGTGCAGTTCTCATCCTCACAGTCAATGTATGGGTCTCCTATTACATCAGCTGAGCAGGTCTTGGTCTCACAGTGAATGTACGGGTCTCATCATCACGGTGAATGTACCACTCTCAATATCAGAGCCATTGACATGCCCATTGAGTTCAATCAATTGAAATATGAAGGCCTGGTTTCTGATTCCTCAGCTCTGACAATGATCTTCTATCTTCATAGGGCAGTCTACGATTAAAATAGAGGCTAGGAGGAAGAAGGAGAGATTGTGAGCAGATAATAAAATATCTTCATCACCCTGTTGAAGGAAGTGGAAAAATAAAATATACGGACCTGCTGCCGGGATCCACAGGTAATAAAACTGTTACCGGGGGGACTCACAACGCTGGGATAATGATACTGACAAAGGGCATCATAGATGACATTATGTGATTTTGCCCAGAGTCACTATAGCTGTTTCCTTTCCTCCACCTTCATATCATACCTCAGGAAAGGATAACACAATAGGACAATAGACAGAGAAGATATGGAGCCATCTGTCTGGTCTTTGTTCTACATACCAGATCTCCTTCAGGCTGGGCGACTGCAGGATGAGCTCTCGGAGGTGAGCGGTGGAGGCACCGGTGAGGTTGTTATGGTTCAGCTCTAGATACGTGAGGTTCTTGTTGTTACTCAGAGGTACCAGCAATGGGAGGTGTTCATCCTCTAGCAAAATCTCCTGCAACCTGTCCGAGAGGGAGAAAAAAAAGGTCAAGGTGACCCCCCCAAATCAGTTTATTTGTATTTACATATTTAGAATATACTAAATTTACAATCTGTATTCTTTCCTTTTTTGCTTTCTTTGCTCCTTCCATTGTTCCTTGATTTCTTTCCCTTTTGCCCACTCTCCGTCCATTCTTCCTTTCCTCCCTCTCTTTCTTCATTTTCTTTCTTCCTTTCACTCTTCCCTTCCTCCCTCCCTTTCTTAATTTCCTCCCTTCCTTCCTTCCTCTCTTTTCCTTCCTTCCTTCCTTCCTTCCTTCCTTCCTTCCTTCCTTCCTTCCTTCCTTCCCTCCCTTACCCTTCCTTATTCCTTCTCTGCTCCCTATTTTCCAGTCTTCCTTTATTTCCTTCCAATTTTCCCTCTCTCCTTCCTTCCTCCATTTCCCTCCTCTCGTTCCTTTTCTTTTCCTTCCTCCCTCCTTTTTCTTACCCTTCCTTCCTTTTTCCTTATCTGCTCCTTTCCATCCATTATTCCTTCATTCGCTATCTTTAGGCTTTAGCTCTTCCTTTTATTCTTTTGCTTTTCTTTCCTCCCTCCTTTCCCCTACCCTTCCTTCCTCCCTTCCATTCTTCCCTAATTTCCTTCCAATATCCCCTCTTTCTTTTTTTCCTTTCCCTTCCTTTCTTCATTTCCTTCTTCCCGTCCCTTAACCTTCCTTCTCTATTTCTTCTTTACTCCCTCCATTCCATTCTTCCTTAATTTCCTTCCACTATTCCCTCTCTCCTTCCTCTCTTCCTTTCCTTTCCCTCCTTCATTTCTTTCCTCCATTCCCTTCCCTACCTATTTCATTCTTAGCTCCCAACCTTCCATTTTTCCTTCATTCACATCCTAAAGGCTTTAATGCTTCCTTCCTCCCTTTTCTTTTCCTTCCTCCCTCATTTCATTTACCCTCCCTTGTTCCTTCTCTGCTCCCTCCCTTCCATTCTTCCTTAATTTCCTTTCACTTTTCCCTCTCTCTTCCCTTCCTTTCTTTTCCTGAGTTCCTTTCTTCATTTACTTCCTTCCTCCCTTTCCTTTTTTTTCCTTCCTCCGTCCCTTTAGTTATTCCTACCTGGATTCCCTTCCTTCTCCCCTCCCTCCCTCCCTCCTCCTCCATCCTTCCCTCCCCCTCCATCCTTAATTTCCTCCCTTCCTCCTTTTTTTTCCTATCCTACCAAAGTAACAGGTTCTCTTTAAAGCCCCGTTGTGCTAAAAATTTGGAACACACCTTTTTATAATGCAAAGATGTGAACTGGTCCTTAAAGTGTACCGGTCACTCCTCTGATAGTCCTCCAGCTCTGTGCCGTGATGTCATACTCACATCAATTGCTCTACCGTGCAGCTTGGACTGGACAAAGCCTCCATCATGTCACCAAAGTAAGGACCGGTCAAATGATTGTACGACAGGCTGAGTATCTTCAGAGATTGGTTATTTCTTATTCCCAATGCCAACGGGGAGCAGGAAGTGTCCGTCAGGGAGGTGCTGCTCAAACTGGAGGAAGAAGCCAGAACGTAAGAACATGGGAAGGATGAATTAAAGTGTAACATAGTAACATAGTATGCAAGGTTGAATAAAGACCAAGGTCCATCCAGTTCATGCCAGAACTTTGCAGAGAGCTCAAAATTATTGATTGACCCCACTTGTCAGGTTTACATTTCTTTTTTTGCCCCCTCTGTATGGGGAGATTCACCATTGTCACCAGGACCAAAAGTGAAAGAAAATCCAAAATCCAATTTCACAGCTGTTATTGGAATAAGAGTTGAGAGTAAATCTTCCAAGGTGGACATCTGCTCCTGTGGTCTACGATGGTGTTTCTGCTCACTTTGGAGTTTTTTGATTACCTCCTGTTGTATCTCTAAGGCATGATGGGATGGGACTGAGAGTAAATCTCTCAGGCATGATGGGATGGGGTTGAGAGTAAATCTTCCAAGGTGGACACCTGCTCCCGTGGTCTACGATGGTGTTTCTGCCCAGTTTGGAGTTTTTTGATTACTTCCTGTTGTATCTCTAAGGCATGATGGGATGGGACTGATGGGGCAAAATGAGGTCACCAACTGGTTGGGCGTGCACTGATGCCTAACTTCCAGAATCAGATAAGCTAGAGTTTGGACCAAACCCAAGCTCATCCCTAATACACTGTATGTATACAAAGTAGGTATAGAGGTCTTCTTGGGTGGGGATACGTCAAGGAGTCAACATTTTATTATCAACGTTTCAATGGAGGTCAACCCATCTTTATCAAGAGTATAAAGATATGTGGCAGCTATATAAGAACATTTTAAAATGTATAAGACTAGAACAAATGACCCAAATCCATTAGGGCATCCCTTCAAACGTTAAAAAACCTTCTCATGGCCCAATGCCAGTTTTTCCATCAGATCAGACGTGTCGGTGAACAGGCGCAACCAATCCCAACAAATCCTGTCTCGTCTACACCAATTCTACTCACTCCAGTTCCTCTAATTGACATGGCGGGCTGGACAAAGCCGCCACCAGGTCACCAAAGTGAGGCCCCTCCAGCCTGTTGTAAGACAGCAGAAGACTTCTTAGGGACTTGTTCTCACGTAGTGCAGGTCCTAGGTACGAGCAGGCACGGTCCGTCAGTCCAGTTTGTTGCAAACTACGGGGAATGGAATATAAAACAAATCTGATTAAGAAAAAGAAAATTGCTCAAAGTTTATAATTTAATTCTAAAATCTGAGTGCAGATTTCGAGTGTACGTTGGGCTAGGAAGGTTTGGAAAGCGTGGAGAAGGATTAGAACCCATGTTGGGTTTTTACTGCTATTCGGGGCTCCGTTGCAGAGATTAACCCGCCTCACTTCCTGTCTGGTTGACAAGTTTCACCAGACAGGAAGTGAGAGACTGTTGCTGTTGAAGGGTTCCCCTCACTTCCTGTCTGGTAAACATTGTCAGCAGGATAGGGTGCGAGAGAAATCTCCCTAACAGAGCAGTAAAAACCTGACGGGGAGGGGGGGTTGGAAAGTTTTTGGCTGGACCTACACTTTAATTCTGCAACACTGTTACAATAAATTAACAAAAGTCAAAAAATCTAACTCTGGACTTATTTTTACCATTTAAAGATGCCCATATGGGGAAAAGACTTAACCCCATAGTTCTCCTTTAACTTCAGAGTCGCCCCTTGCAGTTCCTCTTCTCTGCCACAAGATGTCCTCAGTATTCTAGGTTTAAATGACACCACACTCACTCAACCTGGAAGACCGGGGACATACTGTGAGTTCGGGGAGTCATAGACCCACTTCTGAGGGGTCTTCTTCCCAGAGTCTTGCATGCCCTATGTAATGGTGCAGGGAAGTGGCACCGTCCTTATCACCTCAGCGTTGCTATCTGCTTAATTGAAAACCCCTATGAGAACCTCCTGGAGAAGAGGCAAGGAGGAAGAAGACCATGTGCATCACATGACCGGCCTTAAGTCTTCAGGAACGGTGAGTTAAGTCCTGGAATACCAGGGGACATCTAGGGGAAGAAAGGGGAGGACTCGGGAAGGGGGGTAAACCTGTAGTCCGTAGTTGAGCTTTAACCAGCTAACGTATTTGTTTTTCATTTACATTTTACAGTATCATGAACTATACAATCACATAGGATAGCTTACCACAGGGTGTGTATCTTGCACTCGGGGTGTTTTAATGCTGAACATAAAAATTTGACTCCGTCATCTCTGAATTTATTGTCACTGAGCCTGTAAGGAGTGAATAAGACACATTTCAGTGACATACACATGTGCTCATATCCACATATACTGCACTGTTCTCCCTTCCATTCTGTTCAGACTTGTGATCCAGGCACTTCTGCCGGACAGCACAGTCAGGTCCTCAACCACCACAAAAGCAGCAGCATGACTCGGTCAAGAACATCGGGAACATTCAGGGCTGGATTTACTCTCTATCTCTGCTGCCCCAAATCCAGGTTCCTCAATGCACCCCCCCATATATTTTTTATTTTATTACTTTTTTCTACTTTTCTTTTTTTTTCTTCTACTTAACGTTATTGCTATCACACAGGAGCTAACAAGCCCCCCTGTGTGATAGCATTTGGAGGTGACGGGTTCTCTTTATTGACCCTGTCACCTCCAATACAGGAGTTTTGAGCACAGCACTGGGCCGGAACTCCTGTGACAGCTGAGATGGGAAGGCTGCGAGTGCCGCTCTCCCGTCTCAGTGTTCACACGGACGTTCTCCGCTCTGCTACTCGCTCTCCATCCTGAAGAGAGGATCTCCGGCCAGAGGGGAGAGAGGTAAGTGGCGGGGAGGGTGTAGGTGTAGTGCAGCTCTACTGTCTCAGTGTTCACATGGAGCAGAGCGGAGAATGGATGCTCTTCACTCTGTTACCCCCGCTCTCCATCCTGAATTACCTTGCTTTGTTCTGGGGTCCCCCAAGAAGATCGGGGGACCCCGAAAACCACAGCAGGGAGGGAGGTGGCCAGTGGGAAGAGGCAGCCGGAGGTGGGAGCGGACCATGGAGGGGGATGGACGAGCAGGCTAATTACAAGTGCAAGTCACTTGGAGAAAATGAGCTGCAGCTTCCCCACTCTACATGTGACTCTGGTTGCCCAAAGCCGGGCTAAATGTAGAACAAAAAGAACCCGATCGGCTCCCAGACTGCATGTCCTAGGCTGTCGGGCAGTAGGAATTCCACACCCCTGCTGCCCCGCTACTCCCTGCTGCCCCGAGGCCGGGCCTCAGTGGCCTTGTGGGACATTCGGCCCAGGGAACATTTGACATTTACGCGTTCTTAAGACATAAGGACATATGCATTTGTATTGTACCCTAAGGTATGTATGGAGTGTAGAGCAGGTGCAAGTTTCTCAATATCCTCTCTCTGTAGGTTACAATAATTTAAAGAAAGGGCTTCCTTCTCTCCGCAGGACTGAAGTACGAAAGACACCACAGAGCAGTCCAGAGTGGTCATTTTGACCTGATCAAATTTGAAAGATCCGAACGGTCCGAAACATTCTAAGAACAATTCCTCATTCTGCAGCTCAAAGAATTTGAAACATATATTTAGGAGCTTTCTCTTTTCCAAGATTTGAAATTTCGTAGCATATGGTGGAAGCCAGATGAGGACATCCTCGGCAGCTTCAGAAGACAAGTCACCCAGGTAAGGCTCTAAAACGGTCCTGGTGGAGACATCTGCCAGGCCACAGAGGAACGAGAGAAATAGTTCACAGCGGTTATCTATGTAGCACGTGGCTTGTGTAAGCGACACGTATAACTTTTCGTCAGAATAATCGACATAATGGACCACGGCGGCCAAAAAATCCTGGGTGATGGGATGTAGGAAGGAGAAAGACGCCTCAATGGAGCTTGAGGATTCTTTCATGAAGCTTGGAAACAGTCTTGAGGTCCTGTCCACGTTAAATTGTTCCAAGGTCTGTTTTTTAAATGTGGTAAGATGGTTCCTGACTCCGTGTTCTGCCATCCGCCCAATGGAAGTCAACAGACTCCGAGCATTCATTTTATCCGGACTGTGATTGGCCAGAACATCGGCAGTGAAAGCCACCAAAAGCTGCGTCAGCGTCTTGGGCGTTGATGACATCAGTTGGTGATCATTGGTTGGTTGGCCTTTGAAGCACGTGGATAGCACTGTGCAGATGATCCAGCAGTACGATGGGTTGTAACAGAAAGTGTTTAAGGCGCCGTTCTCCCTCAAAAAGCTGAGAGCCTTGTCTGATAATCCTTTGTCCATGAAGAATCTCTCGATGTAAAGCTTTTGTTCTCTTGGTAAGAAGCCAATGACCTCCAGCACCCTCTTGAAAACGCTGATATCCATTCTAGTTAATTTGTCTGGTTGGCTGGTCAATAGCAAAGAGCAGCCCTTGAGCAGAGACTGTCTCGCCAAACCAACCACAACGGCCCCGACATTTACTACTTGTTTTATATCACCCGGGAGTTGTTCCGATTTAAAATTGATTTCATGAATGCTTTCATCCAAGCCATCAAAGATGAAGAGCAGCCTTTCCGGATCCTGTAAAATGTTCCAAAGTTGATCCTTCAGATATGGATACTCCTGAAGGATCATCGACTCCAAGCTGATCTTCTCTTCCTTGTTGAGATCCCGGAATCTTAAGAAGAAGACGAAAGAAAACCTCTGATAGAATTTGCCGTTTGCCCAGTCGCGGACCAGCTTCTCCACGAGCGTCGTCTTCCCTATTCCTGGTACGCCGGTCACCATCACCGCACGCGGTACACGTCTTATCCTGTGGCACCAGCGGAACAGCCTTTCGGGAGAAACGCTTCCCACGGCGTTTTGTAGGTAGTCGTTATGTTTTATCGCTGCGTCTATCAGCTCGTGTTCGGACGACCGATTAAAGGGGCGCACATGGGATGTGATCATGTCCATGTAACGATCGGAGACATACAGATCTTTATTCCGTCCCGCAGATTCTGAGGGTCTCGGCGTGGTTTGTTCCAGCAGATGTTGTCTGTGATGTTCCTGCGTTTCTGCCAAAACAAAGGAATGGAAAAATAATAGAAATAATATATTATAATACATTATAATAAAATATTAATACAATATTATACATAAATATTAAATAATAAATATTAGGGTGATATATTGAGACCAGGTTTGAGATATATCCGGGGGCGAAGTTGTGGATGGCTTTATAAGTGACTGTTAATATTTTCAATGTTATCCTCTGGGCGAGTGGAAGCCAGTGGAGGGATTGGCAGAGGGAGGTGGAGGATGGAAGCCAGTGGAGGGATTGGCAGCGCAGCACCTTACATAGTTGCACATTCACATCCCTACCCTCAAGGAGCTTATAGTCTAAGGTCCCTATCTCACATGTCTACATAGAGGGCCAACTTAGAGAGGAGCCAATTAACCTGCCAGCGTGTCTTTGGAGTAATAGAAATAAAGTAAAAAAAATAAAATAAATTTAGACAAGGTTGTCCAAAACCCAATCTTCATGGCTCTGGAAGACCACCCTATTGCCTTTGTGGTCAGGTGGTCACAGGCCCTCACCACAAACAGCAGCAGACATGTTGGACAGACAGAATGGAACCATCTAAAGATGTCTTTAGGTCCAGCTGCAATTATGAAGAAAAGCACTCAGATCATTTGAGCATTTCTGTTTTAAAAGAGCAGTCCATCCAAAAGTGGGTACATGCAGCGATGTATTTAGGAAACCTGCTGCCCTAGGCAGGACAGCGACGCCGCCCCCCCCCCGTACTAACATTAACAATCACTCACCGGAGCAGTCAAACCAGCGCCGCACGCTGTATGGTCACCGCCGGGAGCCGCAGTCCGCGCAAGAAGCCGTCCACGTTCCCGGCCAGCAACCCGCCCTCCACGTCACCGCCGCTACGATGTCCTAAGGTTCTCTCCCCTTCTCTCAATCTTCTCTCCCCGCAGCAATTGCCGCCCTCTGGGAATCTGCCGCCCCAGGTAAACGCCTTGTTTGCCTCGCGGCAGATACGCCCCTGGGTACATGGGTATAGGTGGAACAGAAGGGTCTGAGTCAGGACTCGGCTTCTTTTTATGCCCGTGATACTCTTACAGTGAGATCTTCCTACCAAAATTCTCATTTCTGTTTCTGCCAACCTGGGAGCTTTGAGTGATCCTGCCCTTGAAACTGTTGTTTCAACCTGTCTGGTCATCTCACTGTCAGTGGTCACCTCTATATCAATCATGACCTATTAAAACCTCTGAAACCACCAACTCTGAGCACACGCCCTGTCACTGTTTTCAGAAGAAAAGACATGACAGGGTAAGACATAAGCTATATTCTTCACATGGCTTGCTACAGCCCTGTCCCATTATAAATACCCATACCCAATAATAGACCACACCAAGTTGGATATAAAATGGCTGTAATATAAAAACATTCAACCATAACAGTTTAAATACAATGTATTCCTATCAATGTGAAGCTGAGGTCTGTGAAGACACCCTTGGTCTCCTACCGTAGAGCTCTGCATACGACTTAACCAACTGGCCCCTAGCCGCAACTCACCGACTCAGGGGCAACATAGTACATAAACCTCAGAGAGCTCCTACCCTCAGTCATTTTACCTCACTCCTGCGGGACCTGCAAGCTCCCGGGACGGGGTACCTCGGACGCACCCAACTGGACTCATGACCAGCCCGACATAAGTCGCCGCAACAGACGACACCACCCTGCACCACACATAACGTGACCTCAACACCAAATGAGACGAGGGAGGGTGGGAACTGATCTCACCGTGTGGCAACTCTGAACTGCTGGCTGACCCTCCGCCCCTTCTCAGACCACCAGGGAGACTCCTCCTGACACACCTAATTGGCCAAACCAAGGTAAGAGGCCACCCCTTGTACCCCCCCCTTTTACCTAACCCTTTCTATCGTGAAGCCCTGTCTGCCCTGTCATGTGTGCTTTCGCCTATTCTTTTCTGTCTTTTGCTCCAGGACCTTCTGTACAAGTGTAGCGCCCATCACCTTCTGTGATGTGACTACTATACATTTAGTGATTTCCGCGGCTGTAGTCAGCCTGGCTGGATTTGTAGTGGCAGTTATCTGGTTAATCCCAGGTGTCTAGCCTTGCCTGTACCCCCCTGGGCGAAATGTGTGACTCTGTCATAGTGTGGGACAGCCAATGGTGGATACTGTAATGTATGTATAGTACAGCAACCAATCACTGGGCTTCTCTCAGCTAGTGGTGCATGCTGGGATAGAGTACATATATTGGTGGGAGCTGCCATGTGCTCTCTCTCTCTCGCCGGGACCAGCCATGGATTTGGGCTGGGTCCTCTTCAGCATGCCCCCCAGGCTAGGCCAAGGCCTGGGGGTGGGCATGGGCTGGAGTGAGGGAAAAGGTTTCCCTGAGACTTCCAACAGGGAGGAGGCCTGAGAGATGGAAAGAGGAAGAGAACCAGTACCAGTGCAGGCTCTTGAAGCACCCTGGAACTATGTGGGCTTTAGAGCATGGTCAATAAACTGTTTACTACTGTCTACTACTGAAGTGGACATCAATTTATGGACACCAGAAGAAGGGCGGTTAGTGCTAATAGGGCGCAGCTGTAGATCAACCCCTAGACCGACTAGATGTGGAGCGGGCAAACAGCGGCTCCCTCAGGGGGGTTATCGCTGCACAAGTGTCTGCTATTATGTCCCTAAGATCAGACAGATTAGGAAATCCACTCCATCGCCAAAAAAGGGGCGATGGAGTGGATTTCCTAATCTGTCTGACCTTTTCTCCAAAGAGCAGGTGGGCCACATTCCATGTGTCAGTCGTAGTTATATGTGTGCAACCCAGGGGCCTCAATTCGAATCTGTCATTGTCGTGTTTCCTGAGTCGTAGTTATAGTCCCCTAAACTGAACTTTGCTTTGTCAACACAAGGCAACAGCTTCACCTAAAAGTCTGCATGCCCCAGCCAATACATTATATTTGTTCCTTGCTGCTTTGTCCGGCTGCCTAGTTCGGACACAAATATCTGATATTCCCAGGTATGGGGAGCATTTGACTTTCCTTTTCCTTCCATGATGCAGCATTGGGTGTCTGAGCTGCCAATCGCCAGGTCCCCCCAGCAATGTTCTGTGGGGGAATGAGAGAGTCTTACCTCTCAAAAAGCTAACCAGAGGAACTTACATAGCGCTTCGTCCTCTACTTTCCTAAAGTCAACCTGTTGCCTTGCCCAGTATTGGCACAGCATGGTTTTCTTTACCATTTTCTGTGTCTGACCCGTGTTACTGAAGCTGTATCTAAGGATGTGAAGAGAGGCTTCTGAAAGGTTTTCTACCCTGGTGCCTATGCTGGCTCTCGGAGACCCTAGGGGTGCCATTACAATGCCATTGCCATCCTCATTGCAATGTAAATATGATGCTGCAGATGACCTACAATGACAGGAGTAGGTGTCTATGTACTACAGTACACAGAATGCCAACTTCACTATTTGGCTATCACTGATAGGGTGCTGACTATACCACATTTTAAACCACAGGCAGCCTTACAGCATGCTTCAGCTTTCCATTTATTGGACAACCTCTAATATTTACCTTTCAGCTCTGGAGTCAGGGGGTGTCCATTCCGGTCCAGTAATATCTGCTGCATCAAAGTGTCCCCTAAAACATGGAAATCACAGAATGAGACAATAAGTCATTGGTTTTGTGGGTGTCATCATACATGTGCCTCAACACTGGCCAACTCTGGATGCAATGAAGATTAGAGCAATTTTGAAAATCACCTAGTTACTAAGGTGTCCCTTATTATAAGACCCAAGCCAAAACTTCTATGTTTTAGGGGGTTATTCAAGAAGGAGCCAAAGGATCCGGCCGTAGCTTCGGCTGATCCTTCGGCTCTCTTTGACCGCCGGAGCCCTTCGGTTCAGTCAAACCGAAGGGCTGCTGTACAGGCTATTCACAGCAGCGGCTCAGCCGAGCCTAAGGCACATGCTTCAACTCAACTGAGCCGAAGGGACATCCAAAGCGGGTCGAAAGGCCTGCCGAAGGGCGGTTGTAATCCCCGCAAATGACAGCTGGGCGGAGTCAACCGTGACCTAAAATTTGGACCTCTTCTTTGCAACCTATCACATAGACTCTCCAATATTCATCTCTGCTCTCCATATAGCTCTATCTACCTGCTAGCAGAAACAGTCATGGACCCTTTTAGGAAAGAAACAAGAAGGAAACAAGAAGGCCGTGAATTGGACTGGGCAATGTTCACGGCGGATTGAGTATCAATTTGGCACATTCCCTCATTTTATATGTTCATCTTTGTTTCATTTGGTTTTACATGAAGCTGTATTGTTTCCTTTCACAGCTAAGTTATCTCTGGACACAGGTGCCTATGCCTCGCGACTATAGCCTCTATTATGTCATTGTTTTATATATTAGAGGGTCACCATGAGATGAAGGGCCTTCAGGTAAGCCATGAATAATATACAGGTCATCCCTGCCTTCCGTATATTGGTATTAAAGAACATATATCCGCTTCTATCCAACGTACGTCAATGAATGTCCAACATACAGAATTTTGAATTCAAGTTACCCAATTTTTCCAGTTCATATCGCAGTGCATACAAATAATTCGATGAATTATAATGCTGTAGATCGTAGAGGCCTTCCAGGAATCCCATGACGGCCTCTTTTCCAGCGTCCAGAATATCTTGCACCAGCTTCTCAGAGAACACGAAGGGCCCCTGGTCTCTCTTCATCTGGACACTTACCTAGGATACAATGTTACTGATTTCAGGGGAAATGAACAGATGCAAAATATTGGAGAATATAATTGGCTCCATCTTCCCAAAGGGACTCCTCCCCCGCTGAGATGGCTTCATACAAAGATTCAATCAGAGACAGATATACACCGTATGTAAAATTTTCTCCAAGGGATATATAGTGGTCTTGTACGTGTTACATTAAAGCAGAACTATGGGATCAGGGCTTTTCCCCATAATTCTGCTAAGGGTAACGGGAGGACACAAACTAGCTGTGACGGACTGAACCGTCACTGGTGCTGTTGGAGGAGCCTGGGGGCTAGCCTCCTTCCTACTGACTATGGACCCAGAACTATGGAGACCCCCCTCGGACTTCTTGGGGTTACAATGAACCATTCTACCAGGTTTATGTGTGGGGGGATGTACTGTACATGTTCCCTGGCATTACATTTGGATGGCCCTGTGTGTATTATAGGTACAGGCTGTGACTCCAGGAGCACTGAAGGGGGATAATTCTGGACATTGAACTGTTACAGTTTATTGGTCCTTTTGTTGTATTGTGTTAATGATGGGATTAGGATGGCTGATTCTAGGAGTAGCTGACTCCAGGTGTAGATGAGTAAATCACGCTATGATACACTCAGGAGATAATCCCATCACATGTGTCTCCTCCCTCCCTATTCATTCATTAAGGCATCGGGGAGGGGATGTTTGCATGCTGTTCATGTGTGATTGCGTTATGTGTTTAGACTTCTTGGACTGTATATATACTGAGCTAGTCTTCAATAAAGCAGATCCCTCTTGGAACTTACATACAGCCGGCCTGGTGTTTGTTCTGAGCTGGATTGGAACGGCACATAGCTGTAGTTCCAATCCCGGATTATCGGACGTTCGAAGAATCGGACGTTGCGGTCTGACATCTGATCCATTAGTAGCAGAGGAGTGCCGAGAGAGTGGAACCGAGCGAGCACGGGCTCGTTACACTAGCGTCCTCCCGTCACCCAAAGCTCAGTATATCGCAAGCTACAGCTCGCGGTATACTGAGACGCCGTAGCCGGATCCCGACATCACTGTCGAGATCCACCCAGCTGCGTGATTGACAGCTGGCTCTGCCTATCTAGAAGCAGAGCCAGCTGTACCCGCCCCCTCCCCCGTCCGTTCCGCCACTCAGCACTGGAGGATCGGAGCGGGGAGGGGGGAATCCCTGCAGGGAGCCGTGAGTGACAGTCACGGCTCTCTGCAGGGATAGATCGAGTGAACGAGCGACGGTATGTGTCACTCACTTCCCGATCTATTGAGCCGACCTGTGACAGTTTCATTGTAACAGGTCGGCTAGAACTATGAAGCTGAGTTCTCCTTTAACCACGGTCAGGACTCAGTAGCTCAAGCTTTACTTTACAAACACAAATGTAACTTATCCCCCTCCCCTACCCTTTAAATGTACGAAAGAGACAGAGTGTCTGAAAGAAAGCAGCTTCTGCTGTCTTATTGCATAACACAGTTGGAGTTTTCTTGTTCCTGACCCACCACTCGAAGCTTTGATTGCTAGCTTCATTTTCTATAGAAAGTCTGCGCCTTTTTCTACTTACCTCCTTATTGAGGAGACTCCGAGAGTCCAGGTACTCCAGCAGGTGTTCGATATCTGTAGAGGACTCCACAATGTAGATCAGGTCATTTCTAAAGTAGTCATAGATCAGTTGAAGTTCATTGAAGTCGTACTGAGACAGCAGCTGATGGAACTTCTCATGTTCTCCTGGATGACGAGAGGGACACAAATGCTTTGGATGAATGTCGCAGCACTAGGGTTGCCACCTGTCCAGGATTCACCCGGACAGTTCGGGTTTTGAATGCTGTGTCCAGGTTTCATGGCAGCAGAAACCCGGACACAGAATGTCAGGCAGACAGGGGCAACCAAAATTAAGATAGGGGCTACTGGCCCCCCCACTGAAAATAGTCTCATCGGTGATATTTACATATGAATGGGCCACCACTCATTCTCCCCAAAAAATGTTTGCTCGTCGTTTGAGTGCTCGGGTTTCGCTTGAAGAAAAGGTGGCAACCCTACGCAGCACCGACCAGCCTAAGTAGGACTTACTGGAGAACTGAAATGTTCTTTCATTGAAGCTAAGGCCAGATTTACCGTTAGGCACTTTAGGCTTTTGCCTATTAGTGGCAGATACAATGGTGCAACCTTTCTCTACATACAGTTTCTCCCATGAAAAGTAGAATTGTTGCCATTAAAAAAAGACAATGTTCTGTGTAAAAAGGAAAATCTTACCACAGGGGTTTTCTTTTGGGCACCAGGAGTTTTGTGCCTACAGGCCCCAGTGTTTCAAATCTGGGCCTGATTGGGACCCAACCTCACACAACCCCCTAGCCAGCAATAGTGGTATCCCCTACAATTGACAGGTAGGGTATCCTACCACTGACAGGTGACTAGAGTAATATAAGGGTTGGGAAAACCAGACTTTGGTCAAGACTTGACCAAAAGGTGGTAGCATGGGTGAATTCTGTAGATCTCTGCACAGAGGGTGTTTGTGTGTGTATACAAACTACATAAACTATAACACAACTACTAGAACATAATAATGTCCTAACTCTATATAGAAGCTATAGGATATAGAAGCTTTGATTTAGACGTTTTTGGAAGACCTACCGTCACTGTATAGTGAAGGCATCTGACCCATCTTCTCTTCTTGCGGAGCAAACCGGTAACCTGACCTTTAAAACAAAAATACAATGATGTATCATATATGTAAAGTGGGTCTAGCATAAATCACCTGTGTGTGGGTGGTGGGGTTTGGTCATACTACAGAGAGAAAGTCTTCTCCAGATAGTGATCATAATATACGTTTTCCTTCTAAATTAACAAGATCTCACTAGGCCTCATACATCTGAGCTTTCTCTTGGTGCCTCACCAGATTGCCATGGATAGGACATATAGCAGATTGCCTATTCCCCTCTCTCTGTGGCTTGCTTGAGGGAAACTCCTGTTTTTCCAATACAAGGGCTCCCAGGATGGCCCATCACACCCAGGTTCTGTGAAGACAGCTGCTTCTCCGATGGTCCTGACTAGCTCTACAATCTTGACATCTCTGTTGTTTAAGTCAACACCCTTCCACCGTTGAAAGACTGCATGACCTTCAGACCAGGTGTTCTTTTTAATGTCCACATAACTGTAATTAATGCTCAAAATTTCTTTACTGGAACATGATTTTATTCTGCACAGAATGGCTAAAGTAGGGAAGGGTTAAAACCCCTTCCGACCCACTGAACATGGGGTCACGACCCACTTTTTGGTCACGACCCACCAGTTGAGAACCATGGCGTTAGAAGACAGTCATAGATGGGGGACATACTTCAGGACCTTAGAGCCTTGCGTGATTGAGACCTAACTCCAAAAAGATTTCCTTAGCTTGGTTTCTTTTTGTTGCTCTGCTTGATTCTTTGAGTGTTTTGGAGTCATTATTTCAGTTCCCCCGATCTTCTAATCCTTCCTTTACATGGGACCC